TGCTCAGTCTGGCTGGGCAACCAGCTTTTGGAAGAGTCCTGGTTGTGTCAAACATCTTCCATTTGAGAATTATGGAAGCCACTGTGCTCTTGGGAAACTTCAGTGCAGCAGAATTTTTTTTGCAGCCTTCCCCAGATCTGTGCCTCGATACAATCCTGTCTCTGAGCTCTGCAGGCAGTTCCTTTGACCTCATGGCTTGGTTTTCGCTCTGATATGCATTGTCAGCTGTGAGGCCTTTTAAAGAGAGGTGTGTGCCTTTCCAAATCATGTCCAATCGATTTAATTTACCACAGGTGGACTCCACTCAAGGTGTAGGAACATCTCAGCAATGATCAAGAGAAATGGGAGGCACCTGAGCTAAATTTCAAGTATTGTTGCAAATGTGTTATTTCAGTTTTTTCTTTTTAATGAATTTACAGACATTTCTAAAATTCTGTTTTCGCTTTGTCATTATGAGGTACAGAGTGTAGATTAATGAGAAAAAAAAAACGGATTTAAACAATTGTAGTCTCAGGCTGCAACATAGCAAAATTGAAAAAAATGAAGGGGGTCTGAATACTTTCTGAATGCACTGTATATATATATATATATATATATATAATTAATTATATGTAATATAATTTCAGTTTTAGTTTTTATATTTTAAGTTTTTTAAATGTAGGTTTTCATCTAATGTTTGTTTTATTTTATTTCGGCTTTAATTTAAATACTGCAATTTTACTTAACAGGCAGCTGGTTTCCCAACATGACCAGATGAAAATTAGCAGACTAGCTTGACTGGGTTAGGAGACAAACTAGCAAACCTGCTTAGGCGGGTCTAAGATGTTTTTAAAAGGAATACAAGCTGTATTTTACAGGACAAAAGCATATGTCTGCTGCGTTTGCCTTTTTAACAGAGAATATGGTCTATTATGATCCCTGCCATGCTGCTCTGACTAAGCGTGTTTCACGAGAGTTAGAGTAAAATCATAGCGGAGGAAAGACTCAATACAGCTATTACAGACCCATTATGAAATCATTTTTCTAAACAAACAGCGTCTTTGAGGGGCCATGCACATGCTCGTGGCAGTAAAACTGAAAATACATTTGTGTAATAGATGAGATGTTCTGTTTCTGTGCGGCAGGTGTATTTGCCAAACACAAGCGGTGAGCAACGCGGTAGGAGAAGCTATTAACCGTGACGTTCAGAACAAGTGCAGCCTAGTCATAGTAAATTAAACACTTCAAAGTCAGATAAAAAATGGACAGTTAAATTAGCCAAAGTGTTTTGCCATTTTAAAAGACAGTCTCAAATCCCAGTTAAATGAGACAACTAAGCAAGCCATTTGTTAGGGGATTTCACATCTGTGGTGCTACAAAAACCTCGCTATGTTTGTTCGAACAATGCAAAATGTCAACCTCTGGCTCAACCACTGACATAATTTCAGGACAAGAGAGATGAGGCATTAGAAGTGCTTTGGAGATCTGTTTGGAAGCAATCATTATTGTAATTCTAATGGTGCCACAGTGTTATTTTAGTATTATTTATATACGTTCAGGAGAAAACGCGCGCATGGTGAATGTAAACAATGCTTATTACATTAAATTACGTTAATTACGTTCTGGGGAATGCGCGCACATGCATCGTGGTACTCTCCAAAATGGTGGAAGATGATAATTCGGGGAGAACGATTGTTGAATAAATTGTTATTTTTGTTTCCTTTGCACACAAAAAGTATTCTCGCAGCATCGCAAAATTGAGGTTGAGCCACTGATGTCACATGGATTGTTTTACAGATGTCCCTGCTACGTTTCTGGGTCTGGGAACATTGCAGTTGCGTTGCTGTCTATGCAGGGTCAGAGAGCTCTCAGATTCCATCAATAATATCTTAATTTGTGTTCTGAAGATGAACAATGGTCTTACGGGTTTGGAACGACATGAGGGTGAGTAATTAATTACAGAATTTTCATTTTGGGGTGAACTATCCCTTTAAACCTGCATCGCATATATTTAATTGAATCATAGCATTTGTGAATTCACAATAGCATTATGCTTTATTGTGATTTTTAAATGGGATTAATATATCATGCAGCCTTGGAAAATGGTCTAATAATGCATTTCATGGATTCTCATCCGTGGAATGCACCACTTCCGGTATTTTGCCGGTTACTCGACACAGGCAAAATGCAATTGAGGATTTTTTTTTATAATCAAGTACTCAAATTGAATCAAGGAATCTTGACAGCCCTACCATATTAATTATTAATATCTTAAATTAATTTTATTTTTAGATGAGGTTTTCTACAGCATGTGTCCAAACTCCACTTCCTCTAACATTTACAGCAAATAACCAAGCAGCAACGAAAAACAAATTTAAACACAAGTTTAGCGTGAACGCGGTCAGCAGTGTGGGCAGCTGATTAACCATTTTTCCAGTGCCAACGATTGTTTATTGGTCCTGTTGACGAAGCCCGCAGATAACAGCCCCACGCGGTATGAAAGCGTGGTCGGGTAATTATCTCTGGCAGAGGCGACGACGGTGACGCTGCTCGGTTGAAGGATATGAAATATCTTTCAGGATCTAATTACTGGGTAGCCAGAGGTGTAATTTCCCTCTTTCGCTTGGCATCTTCAGATATGGGAAGAGAATGCTGAATGTGTTCACTTCAGGTAAGTGCTATCACACTCGCTGATCTTATTCAGATTCAGAGCCCAGCCGTGGAGAGGAAGAGCAGGAAGGATAGGAACCATGTGCAAGAGGTCTGAATGTACAGATAAAGACAGACTATCATAGCAGAGACAGGAAGAATAATAGACGTATGGCCTTTCTTTAATACCAAGCGACCTCAACGCATTTATGTTGGAGTTTTATTGCTTTCGTCGCTTTCAGCGGCTTGACCAAGCTTCTCTTCGCACAATTGCATGCGCTTAGCATAATGTGGCTTTTATAAAGGTTTGTTTCTGAATTACCGTGGGCAGTACTTTCAACCTCCTGACTTCTGTTTTGCACAAAGAATGGCAAAGGCAGCTATAAAAATTCGAAAGCTAATATTAAAGTCAAGACAAGTCTCCGGTCAGAGCCTGTATGGAGGTGCTGATACATTAGAGAAGTTTTACAGGAAATCAATAACCAAGCCCATTTCTGTGTACTTCAGCCATTCTGATAAAAACGAAAGGTTTTAAAGAATGAATCAAAGTGGTACTAGGCGAAGACTGATGGTAAATCTGTTGTAGAGAGGATAAAAACCTATGAAGAACAACTGCCTATTCAATGTACTATACAGAGCCATAAAGAAGGTCTTTGGCTCGCTTTGTGGTATTAGAAAAATGGCACGTCAAGGTAAAAATAGTACTTTCAAACGTGTTTCAAGACCCTTTTCCATTCAGTTGCATTCCATAAAGCTATTCGAAAAGAATGCATCTAACTGCATGTGAAAGCTTTCAAGCTTCAAAAAGGATGCGGAAGCACCATAAAAGCATCATAGAAGTGGTCCATACAATGGACTGGGTGAGGAATTCGAATCGAACTGAAGTAGCTATTCATTGGAAGGAAAGTAGTTTTGAGTCAGATTTGAATGATCCAGTTTACCAAACCGATTGATTCACTCTCAAAATGATTTCATTTCTTGAGATGACTCAGTGATCCAGTTGCAGCAATTAACCCCTCATTGGAGGTGAAGATCAGTGAATAATGAGATAAATCAAGTCGATGTCTTCCTCACAAAGCTGTCACTTTTATGGTGGTTTTGCATTCAGTTTGAAGCCACAGAAGAAAGTCATAAAAATTGTGTTAATTTAGTCTTAGTCCAGTGTCAAGTTTACTTTTTAGTTGTCATATTTAGTCAAGTTTTAGTCGACTAAATATCTGAACATTTGAATCTAGTTTTAGTCAATGAAAACTTCATCACATTTTCGTCATGCTGTATAATAGTTACAAATATTTTTGATCAAAATTATAATTGCAATGATTGTTGTCATTTGAGAAATGTTTTTTTTTTCACATTTCAGGTATTGCACTTTCACCAATAAGCACAAAGCAACAGAATGTGAACTCATACACATGGTTTATTTACCTCATCTAGTGTACTGATTTATTATAGGCTATTTAATATATAAATTAATATCAAAGACTTATATATGCACTTTCTCTGTCTACATAATGAAAACTGTTAAAACAGTGAAATTCCTAATAGCAATTCCAATAATTCCAAATTGCAATAATGTTTCTCTATTAAAACAACAGCCCTTGAGCAAGTGCATGAATTCAGCAATCACAATTACAAACAAAATAGTCGAGATCTCATGACAGACGATAATACACACTGGCTGAATGACACTTTCATTTAAGCCGAATATCTCACATGGAGATCGCTGAACTTCAGCATACTGGTTTGTCGGTGTTTAGATAATAATCTACACTTCCGTAATGAAGAGTGAGCACATGCACATGGTTGCCAGATTGCAAAAATTAAGCAAAACACCAGGCAGAAAATGTATCCTTTTAACAGAGAAGTACTGATTTGGGGATTTGAACTTTTCTTATCTGGCAACTGCCCACATGAAAGCTCTCATAGTAGAGGCTTGTACAGCAGTCCGCAATATTATTTTGATATTTTGTCTCCTTTTTTTCGATGAAAAAATAAAAGGAGATTTTTGTATAGTTTTTATTTTAAAAAAAAAAGTCTTGTCTCATCTTTTATCGTCAACGATATTGCATGTTGATATAGTCACAGTTATCGTTTATTGACCTTATTGTCGTCTCATCATTGTCTCGATTTAGTCATGGGAAAGAAGCTCGTCAAAGAACATTTTTTGTCATAGCTTTCATTAATGAAATTAACACAACATAAAAATTTGGAATGACATGGGGTGAGTAAATTAATTTACATTTTTGGGTGAACTATCCCTTTAAGAATGAGGCCTCTTTTTGAATTGTGTGGAATGTTTCGTTCTTGATCAATAAAAAAAGATTGATCCCTATTAGATATCAGAACATTCAACACGACTACATCAAACATACTTGAGCTCTTGTAGTTTTTCTTCTTCAGTTTGCGTCTCATCATGGTGCCGCGGGGACTTGTGGGATACATGGTGCGTGGCAACGTGTTCATGTTGAGTGAGCTCAGACTGTAGGCACTCATGGAGGTGGGAGAGAAGGATGAACCCAGAGCTGTGTAGGAAAAAGAGAGAAATGTTTTAGCAAAACTCTCATTATCAACTCTCAATGACTCATTTCAAAACCTCATATATTTAGTATATAAAGTTCAATTTTGCTTGGTAGAACGCTTCTGCTTTACATTTTTTCCTCATTTAAAACAACAATTTGAGTGAAAATCTAACATAAACTTCATGATTTCATAGTATTTGGTATGTGTCTATTTTGCTTTACTGTAGCTGCATGATCATGATCTTCAGCATGATTTCAGATGATCCAAAGAACATCTCGAGTTTCTTTGGAAGAACAACATCTGACCATCTGTACAAATTCACATGAACAATCTCACAAATTTACCTAGATTAGTGACCTTGAAGTTCTATTCATTTTATGTTTTAACTAGGGCTGCACGATAAATCGCATGCGATATTTAACGCGCATCTAGTCAGTAAAGCCATTCTGTAATCAGCGGTAAATCTCCATCACGTGCGGGCTTTCACATGGAGCAGCATTAACTACACAGAGCCGTTGTTCACCGACAAGCTGCGCAAAATATGATCGTGATTTTGGGCAGCTTGTCAGTGAACAACGGCTCTGTGTAGTTAATGCTGCTCCATGTGAAAGCCCGCACGTGATGGAGATTTACCGCTGATTAAAGAACCGGCTTTACTGACAAGATGCGCGTTAAATATCGCATGCGATTTATCGTGCAGCCCTAGTTTTAACCATGTTTAAATCCCATATTTTCAACTGAACTTTCGAACCCCACTGTATCTTAAAGTTTTCTAACAACAGGTGCAGGAAACGAAAGCCACAGTTTGTCACCAGTCGAGGAATTGCACAAAACAACTCATTAAAGTGCTATAGACTGTGCCCTCGTCTTTGACACTGTGTGAACGGTGGTAAGTCTCCATCAAAGCACATCTCTAAAAATACTCCCCGATGCCTAAAAGCCACTTCTTATCACAGAACAACGGCTAAGAACCAAATCACAGTTCATACTGATCAGATAGAGAGCTTCAAAGCCATTTTTAGCACTTGCAAAAAAAAAATCCCAACTGACAGAATGTTACTACTCCAAAAAAAAAAGTTTTATTTGGCTGGGACACTGGCGATGCTGAAAATATGTCAGGATTAGAGCAGATTACGGTCTTATTTTTTACAGTTTGTGTGGTCTTGGCACATGAAAGGACATTCTGCTTTCCTCTCTCTTTTTTTAAAAGCCATTAAACCATGTACAGCTTTAAGAGCATAATGAGACCTTCTGGTCCACTTGTGTATTGTATAAGATGAGCTCTTCCTAATCCAAACATTAAGGAGTTAATGTCCAGCAAATGCAGCCTAATTTGTCTTTAGGGAAAAAGAAAACAGCGTAATACAACTAGTAATACAAAAGTAATACAACTCTCAGGGGGGTTTTGCTCTTTCACGCAAATCAAGACACATCTTCCAGAGATGGAAAAAGCCTTTGAACTCCCATAACCAAGGGGGATATATAATCCAGCAATAAAAAAGGAGACTGTGACTAAAGAGTATTGATGGAATGACAGTAAATTATGTGAAGCCACCAGCACTGAAGTGCCCGCGGCATCTTTACTACCCTCCTGAATGGAGAATCTGAGACATGACTGTGAAGGTGAGAAAAGGTGCCGCAAGCAATTTTAGCAGTGTTGCTAACTTCAAAATTCAATCATATGTGTGATATAAGTGAAAAGCAGTTCAGACGCTCGAGGTTTAAAGGTCGCTGTACCATTGGTTGCTACAGGGGTTTTTGAACTGGAGTCAGCAAAATGTTTGGGGGACTGCAAAAATTTATATATAGATATATATATATATAAGGGCTGTCAAAATTAACGCAAATTCATTTTAACTGCACTAATTTTATTAACGCAGCATGCATTTTCTGTTTGACCCGTGGCCTAACCCGTAGTTGGAGAAATGGAGATGCACAGTGTTGGTCTCTCTTTCCCAGCGTGCACACACCTCTCTTTCTCTCTCCGCGTCTGTTCTGTTCAGCGAGCGGCGGTGAGTAGCAGCACTTTTAGTTAAAACAGATATTATGTTGCTTCTCTAATTTTACATGCAAGTATAGCCGAAATCACAGCACAGCTATTGTCTTTATCTTATGTGTAGCCTATATGATTTCATTAGATGATGGCTCGATTATCAGGATTTTTGTGCAGATTAACATTTTGGAAGGGAGAGCTATGTAGTCTTAATGGGTCGCGTTTCAGTCACTATTTCATATTCATTCCGTTGTCTGACAACAGAAACAGTAAAATATATAAATGAAAACAGTTTTATTGAGAATTTAGCTGCATAAAAATACAGTATGTGGGCACAGAGGCAAACAAATGTAATAATAAATAATAAATGTACATTTTAGGTCCTGAAATTTAACATAGTTGTTTATTCAAGCTGTGAATATTTCAATTCTAAATATTTCACACACATTTTCATAATTAAAAATTCAATAATTCATATTCACCTTCCAGAATTCACTTCCAAAATATTAAATCTGTTTAAAATACGATGTAATATTCGACAGGCAAATTTCGGTCCATTTTATTTCATTTTCAAAATTCGCTTCCACAAATTCAGTGGTTAAAATTCGGCAGAAAATTTGCCATTGCACATCCGGGAGCTGCAGGAATAGCAGTAGAGCACCGATGCATGATCTCCATCCCTTACCACTGATCTATAGAGTTGACAGTCCTACAAAGATATCAATACCACGATTAGTTTTAACAATGTGCAACAACTTTATATTGACATAAAAAAGAAGTTCAAAACCGCCTAGGTGTATTGTTGCTGCAAATTTAAACCGGAGAAAGTATTGAC